CGCTCTTATCGTCAGTACCGTTATCGACACTGAGTGTGTCACCGACGAGCGCATCATTCAACAAGTCTGCGGCGGCATATCCCAAATCTACTGCAGTTGAGCGTTGTCCTGTGTGAAAAGACGGGCAATCCGATGGTGTGCGTACCTTTTGTCTCCAACTGCCACACTAAATGGATTCGACGAGTGCGAATCTTGCAGGCATTATATCCATGAATGAGGTGCTTCAGGTAAGAAAGGTGCGAGACGACACCAAAGCCATCCGCCATCATTAAGACCGTCTCATAAGTTCCCGCTGGGACAGTAGCACCGTGAGGCCCACTGAACAAAGCTCGATATGAAGTGCCGCCCTCGAGGCTAGAGTCCGAATATCGCAAAAGCTTACGGGTCAGGCCGTCACGTGGTTCCACAAAAATGTCCAAGGATTCTAGACTTTCATCCGACCAGGATGTTATCATGAAAGGGTGGCTCTGTAGGAGGCCAAACCAGGGAATCCATAGGCAGATGTATTGCCCCGGCTTCACCTGGACTGGCGAGGTGAGGCTTACTTGAAGCGTCATAACTTCCTGCTGTATGATGACATGCTCTCTGTTTAACATTTCTTTGATATTGGTGATCTTGACTCTGGCGAACCCGTTCCCGACCACTCCGGTTTGGTACACAACGAGTCCGCATTGGACGAGAACGGTCAGCAAGAATGTACCAATAGTAACGTAAATGTACTTTTGCGGAAGAGAATGGTTCTTCTTCAAGTGGCTCCATATGCTGTAGGCCGCCGTGACAGCCAGGGTCTGATGCAGGCGAAGGAAGAGCTCGTAGAACGGACGGCGAAGTAATGGGTGTGAGAGAGGCACGAGGATGCCCAATGATATTGTCCCCTAATCTTTGTCAATTCTGTCGACCAGCCGCAGGAATCTTTTAGGAAGCATACGATCAGTCCAAAGAGGTTTTCCGAGATCTGCAAGGGAAATGGTTTCTTCTCCACGAGCGCAGTGAGAACGTGGAAGCCCAGCAGGACCGATGACATGAGCCCTAAGGAACGATGAAATCGCCGGTACGTGCGTAATGTGACGCCCAAGAGATCGGCTGGAAAACTCAGATGAGGGCCGGCCATGAGAGGGATCAGGTTGATGAGCGAGAGATCGGCCGCCCGCAGACCGGCCGCCCAGACAGAGCGCACTTTGAAGCAGACACAAAAGACGTTGACCCCACCGTACAGTAGCCCTGCAATGACACCAGCCGGGTGCCACGCCCCAGTCAGCCGGTGACGAATCTGTGGATACACAAAATATTTGAGGGTGAAGGGTACGACTTTCTTCCAACCAAGCAGAAGCCACCGGCGAAAGTTTATGAGAATTAGGAAAAACAACAAGCCGCCCAAACCGATCGCGTAGGCTAGAGTGATATCCATACTGAACGTTAGAAACGATAAAACTGGAATGACAACAAATTTCGGATGGAAAGGCAGTTTCACAGGGGTTAAGAAGCTTGTTGAACGGGGAAAGAGAGTGCAGTTGAAATATAATGAACTGTAGCATAGTATTGAGATGCCAAACCCTCAGAAAGGGAGCCGAGAATGGAACAAGACTCTGAGCAGTTGCGGCCAACTTTAGAATAAAGCAATTGGAGCCAGAACGGGATCTTCTACCCGACAAATCCACCTTCCTCTAACTTGGTGGCAACCTGTAGCCTCTGAATGGGGCAATCGAAGTCACATCTGCCAGCCCTTGGAGATTTCTCGTCCCCCAGGGCCTGCTGAATAATGGATTCTAGCCAGGTCAGGATCAAACCCAGGAGGAACTCTGAGGTCTGTCACTTGCCTTCAACAACATCTCTGCGGAAGTTGCAGACGTCGTCTCAGAAAGGAATTCGACTGCCAGAGAATGGGGGGCCCACCGCCGCAGGTCATCTACTCCGACAGCACCATCAGCTTTGGCATACTTTTGCATCAGCTCCATTGTGATGAAGCTTAGAGCTTCAAGATCTCTCGATCCAGGATTGCTCAGGGGACATGGTCGACAGAGTTCCTGATGTGCTGTGATCTGAACGTCAGCTCAACATAGAGGTTCATGGAGTGATTACGTGCCTATCTTCACCTCGCCAGCGACATTGATGAGGATATTCGAGGTGGTCAGAGAGCCGTGTTCTAGTCCTTTTCTCGCGAGGTACGCAAGCCCGTTGAGGATCTGTCACAGTTAGTCGGTCCACTCAAAAGATGTGAAATTCAAAACCCCCCTGTCCTAAAATGGACGCCAGTTGATCCTCGTCGAGATGTTTCGGAAACCCAGTGAACAGGCTCAGTGACATCGGCATGTGCTCAAAGACAACGTAGAATAACTCGTCATGGAGAAAGATGTCTCTCACGGACACTATGTTCTCATGTTCAACCTGTTGCAACATACGACATTTTTCTTCACCGTTATGTATAGAGAAGCTCCTCACAGCGACGACGTACGGCGTGGGACCCTCCTTTTGAGGAGGAACAATAAAGTCGGCGGACCACGGGTGTCTAACATCGGCCACGTCCACCATGTCGTCGTCTTCTTCGCCAAGCCGTATGCAATGGCTTTTTCTGTATTTTTCCCACGGGGATTGGTGCTTCATGATCAAAGTATTCTCCGTCCCACATCCGAGTGCTGTTGGAGGGTTCAGGGCCTTCGCAACGGTTGCTGAGGGGGGACGATAAGTTCCGTGCGAGAGGGCTCTCGGGAATCCTGCTGCTGGATTAAATCCAGTCCGACGGTGACTGGGAGTTTCACCACCCGTAAGGTGATGATCCTGGTGTGTCACGCTGTGAGAAGGTCCCCTAAACCCTCGGATCGCATCAAAGTCGATGCGAGTCCGGCGATTTGAAGATTTGGATGACATCCCGATAACATGAATGGCTAAAGATCACGCCAGAGCAAACAGTACAATCTTTTAAGTAAGGTATGTGAGCTTTTGAGCAAAATTGAGGCAGAAGCGGTGGTCAATCCCAAGAAACAGGAGACGACGTTCGATTTGGACTACGAAACAGGTGAGGAACGAAGCGGCCAGAGCCGGCATGTGCAGTAATCGCACACCTTCCTCCCGGGGCCCATTTTGGTCCTCGGGGGCCAATTCAGACTTGATGCTGAGCCCAACGGAATGAGGCCCCTTCTGAATCCGAATGGTACAGGCGTTTTCGATTGCAGCTTCGCAATGCAGACAAAGTCCAAAATTTAAGGGACCGCTTCTAGGTTCCACCCTACCTAAAGCTAGCTAAATCAAGACCAACAAATCCACTCTAGATAATCAATCACTAGAAAGGAGGGTTGCCGCCTGTTTGTAACTTACGGTATGAAATTTACAAGCTTAGTTAAAATAGGTTAGTGGGAATTGAGGCTTTAGCGCAGCACCGGGAGTCCTGGACGTTGAGCTGGGATGTATAAATGACGTAGGTCAGTGAAATGATTGGAAAGCAACGTGGAGCTTCGTCAGGTGCAGTGTACTTTCTGGAGAGCTGAAGCAGCACACCTGAGGACAGCGAGCTATCTGAGTGAGCGTACTGCGGTCAATCGGAGCTATGTGACATAGCTTGACAATGGTAGGCCCGAGGTTGGGCCAAAAAAATCTCAAACTTGAACAAAGCCTCCATACTGCAACTAGAGGACCATCCATGCAGCACGGTCGCCAAATGAAAGCCTTTCAACTTAGTCCTCGGCTTCGTCGACGTTGCCCTGCTTCCATCAGTCAGAAGTTTAGAGCGATGTAGACCCTAGAGCTCAATATCTGGCATCATTCAATCCAGAATAACGATTCTTACTGCCAACATGTTGTTGAGGATTCAGTCACTAAGTAGCAGGTTCCTTACAAGGCAGTAAGAAAAGCGGAGCAAGTTCCAATAACAACTCAAACCGCGAGAGTACAGCTAGTCACTTCTGGACGTCAAACTCACTTCTCTTCGGTAAATAGCTGCCAGAGAAACCTGCCGTTAGGATTCATCGAGCCCTGTAATTGAAGCCCACGTGAAAGTGAGGGAAAACCACACAACGGAGACCTATAATCGATACGTCATGTACGAACGAGTAGGATTTCAATAGGGACGCAACAACATATGGACTTTACCAGGTGGAGAAGTGGATGGTCGAGGCCTAAGCGCGTCATTACTGCTTGCATTGCATTTTCGCCCCGGTCCAAAAAAACAGCTCCTAGGAGAGCTTCGACAGTAGTCGCCATCGACTTGGCTGAAACAGCTGTCGTGCCGGGATTGAGGATGACGCATTGATCTAGACCGATACGCCGACCAAGTTGGTTATAGTTGTCGTTGGTAACAGTGTTCTGGCAGATGGTTCCTTCCCAGATGCCTGGAGGAGCTGAGCGTAATAAACTGAAGGGAGGATTGAGGTCTACCTGGAGAGAGCGAGGTTCCTGCGCACCAGCGGCGACAGAGTTCAGCTGTCACTCTAGCATCACCAAGAACAGCAAGCCTGCTATTCGTATTGCTGATCGGAGCTCGGTTAGGCCAAAGAATATCGTTGCCTGTCATTTTCAAGGCCTCGCAACAGATGCGTTTATCGTGAAAAATGTAGCCAATGATGGCTTCACAACGAGTATTATTGTCGAGATATGGGAGAGTCATATTTTCCTGGCTCAATACAGCGCATGGACAGTCAGATTCAGAGTGGTGAGAAGGAAAAATATTGACGACGGGACGTCGACCGAAGATAAAAATGACCCCGCAGTTTTGATAAAGCTCTTGATGACGACAGGACGGGAAGGTGACGCCTGTGATCAGAACTCAAATCGGCCTGTCTGAGAAGAATCGAGCTCTGATTACAAGCTAACCCTCAACGCCGTTATGCTGGTCAGATTTGAAGTTTGTCCGCAGCGCTTCCGTTTTGCAAGTGTAGATGATCGAAACATTCCAACGCTGCTGAAATCTCCATCCTCAGTTTATATCACCGACTCAAAGAAGATAAAACTCCACTCAAGTACGAAAGACGCTTCCCTTCATTCCCAGTGTTTCAACTTTTCAGAAGTCGATGGATGATATCGTCCTAGGACTGTCGAATCTAAAGCTTGATGAAGAGGCCGAGAAATATCTGAACGCCGAGCGAAAGACCTTCCCGGTATCACCACAGAAATACCTGAAAAGCGTGGCTTGTACGTCGTCGGAAAGTCCATACAGTCGTAAATCGTGCAGTGGATGGTCTCAGCGGGACAAATGGTTTGGTTATGAGATACTTTGTCGGAAAGAAGGAACGCTGCTGGCCCGTCAAGTTGCGGGAAAATTCGGTTTCACTTTTCATCCCGATGATCTCGATCAGTGCGGTACGCGAGATCCTGATTACTGGCCTGGGAGATCTCAAGCCTGCCATGCAGAGGCGCAACTAATGGCATACATTTATGACCAAATGAGTCGAACACCGACGACACTGCACCAACCTGTTGCTATTTACACATCTCCTCGACCAGTTTGCGAATACTGTCATGACTTTGCTAAGCATATCTACGTAACGACAGGGGTTCAATTTACCTTCTACCGTGATGGACGGAGAGAGTTGCTAAAATGCAAGCATTGCCAGAACATCATTGAACTTGGCTTTTCCTGCCCCAAAATAACCTGCGCCAGGCTTGATTTGGAGGCAGCCTTCACGACATGCAGGCATGCCCTCATCAACTGGGCGCAATCTTTGGAGGACTTTGCACAGTATCTAGAGCTCGCGGAGCAAGCGTTGTCGTCAGCTTTTGAGAATAGTCATGAAATGCGTCGATTACTATCTTCGCTCTTGGCTTTGAGAGAAACAACACTGGATCTCAGCCGTGTCGTGATCGAGAGCGAAACCACAATGGAGTCTGCGACTCACGCCTTATTGTCAATCTAGGGTCACATTTGTGAAGAAGAGATGGTTTGTGATAAAGAATACAGGTGTTCTTAATTGCTTGTTCGCGCTGACACACACCTTTAATTCTATTCGGCCTACTTAGGTTAAGCTCGATTAGTAGTTAACTAGTCCATAAATGGTGAAGGGTATGTAGTCATGGTACTAATGGCACAGAGAGCCAAGCAGTCATATAATTTCTGTACGACCTATCTACCTTTATAAATAGTGGGCAAGTAGTTACTGTACGTTCGACCGCGGAGAGAGATGGATAGGTTGTCAGGCGAGAGTCCTCCTCTCCACTTCGCTGACAGCTTTCATTCTCGTTCACTACGAGCAGCTGCGCTCTTCAGTTGTATTCCGTCGTACCCTAGACTCTTAGTGCCTGTTATGGTGATTTAGGCGTGGTGGCTGAACCACTGAGGCTCGTATTCCTACTATGTTGTTTTCCTTGGCCACTGAATAATTATGGTCACCTCTAATCCAGCACTCTAAATCTTATGCCATTGCGAGAGTCCTAACTGGAAGATACCTATATTAGGGAATATTGCCATACCTGGGTGGATTACCTCGATCTCCTCCCTACCTATCGTGATCGTGAGTGAAGGTGATGCTGGCGCGGCCTTCAGGGACCGTCGATATATTTTCGGCTGTACGTATAATGGGTCCTAGCGTATATACAAAATCGGGCTATCGTCGTTGTTCGGATTATCTGTCTGGAATTTCTCTGCTGAGTATTCTCTCTAGCCGTCTCGAGCGCTCACCGACGGTGTACTGCTAAGGCACACAGGCAGTCGATCGCCTTCTAAAATCCTACCTAAGTCAATTGCCCGGGTAAAGACCTCCTTCAGTTCGGATACAAATTCAGCGGTCTAATCGTCCTATAGGAGTTCGTACAGCGGAGATACGATTTTGTCATTAATAAGTTGACTAATTGTCTCGGAGATATCTACCTTCTCATCAAGCTGCTCTAATGTCTTCCGCGTAGAAACTTTCCACCTTCGCCGAACATCTTCTCCATATTAAGCCATATGAGAGTATATCTCGATAAAATTTAAGAAATTTCTCGGCTCGCGCCATTGACGCAAAGTAAAAACACGAATTCATCGCTGTGGCGCACAAAGCATTGAATATGAGGTTTTGGACATTGGCTAGACGTAGTACCACTGCGCAATTGGATTGCGCGATCGGTACATTCTCAAAACCTGGTGAAATTTTCGAGAGGCGACTTGACACACCTTTGGAATCTTAGATTGAAGATTGTTAGAGTGCAGAACGGACAGCTCGGTAAAGTATGTAGTCGCAACCCTATCAATGCTACAGTGGACTGGACTGGACTGATTTCATTTACCCTGACCTCTCCCTTATGGGATATGCAGGCTACCACTACTCAAGCTATCTCTTTCTCTCCGTTCGATCGTGACTAAATTACATGCGCGAAGTTTGTGCCTCGTTAAGGCCTATGTTGTACCCTTGGCTGCGCTGCCGGAGCCCGTGACTTGAATCTTTGGGATGGTGGTGTGCGAAAACGGTGTCCTAAATCTGCACCAAAAATGGAAACGAGGATCATTCTCCTTGCTCCACCGTGGGCTGCGCTTACCATGTTAAAAAAACTTTGTGCATAGTGTCTTTGATTGGTACTGTACAGGTACAGCACAGCACTTTCCAAGCCTTTCTACATTTCATAGCGACACTCGCAATCATATAGTTAGTGCCCGGCCCGCACCTTGTAGATTGACTCTTTGTAGTCAACCTCGTTACTCCTAGCGCACCCTAGGATTCGAAGCAAGTATCGTTCTCTACAATGTATCCCATCGAACCTCGTGACGCCCACACAAAACCAAGCCCACCTTAAACGTGATCGACTTGCATTGAGACTGGTTCATGATAAAGGGTTTAGGGATTAACTATATGATGAAACTCTAGACGATTAGCATCGGCCAAGCAAAGGAGCCTCTACCTTCGAGAAGGTACTTAAGCCAGAGTGCTGCTTGTGTGGTAGACTAATTCCAATGCCATATTAAGTAAAATGTGCTCACAGGAGAGGCATTCGTCATTCCGGAATCATTTTCCCATAAGCTGACGTACCCAAGCAACAAGATTTCCTAATTAAACACGTGAAGCTTCTACAAAAGGAGAATCTGTGAAAAGTCCACGGCCCAGCATGGATCTGGTATTTCCGGCTGGGCTGGTAGGCATGGCTGTAGCCAATCATTTATACACCAGCTACAATTAATCACTTACACACCAAGCTGGGACAAGAAGGTAAGCCGAAGAAGGGGTTCGAGGATACTCATGAGAATATGGTCACGTGATATGACCCTCAAGGACCTTGTGGATCTCGTGGATCTCAGGAATCTCCTTGGATATTGAGATACCGGTTGTATTCCTATTGATCATCAGACTCGTTTTACTTACACATCCGCTCTGCGCCACTTGTCAGTTAACACTGATAGAAAGTGACCCCTCGGGATCAGGACCTTGACAGAGGGGGAGAGGGCACCCCACGATTGTTCTGACACAGCTTTATCATTACAACTCGTGGCTCATTCGTACTGTACGATACAGTTTCGTTTGACAGGATACCCGTTTCGCACAGCTGTATACAGTGATATTCTAGGCATATGGAGATTAGATATGTCTGGCACCCTCTGGACTGTGATCCAGTGGGCTTTGCAGCGAATAGCGGCGGCTTGTGGCGCTTTCATTAGACATATTCTTCGAAAGAGAACATTTCCGAGCAGAGTATCACAGTCCGTCTTATTGCGGGCTTGTTTTATGTATAGTTTGCTTACGGATTGACAACATCATTCGTGCTGGCGCATTCTCCCAGTCAATTCAGGGAAGACATTCAGAGCCTCACGACTGATGCTCCAGTTATCGTATTCGAGAAGATGCTCGATAAATTTGGGTGTGAGCTTTCTCATGTTAGTCATCGGGTCATGCATAACGGCTGTGTTGAGATCATGTGGCCAATTAAGCGACCAATTCGGGTTCTTCAGTATTGAGAGCCAATCTCGCATCTGGTGTATCAGGGCATCGCGTAATGGACCTCTGCTTGTACCCATCAGATGTGAATGGTCATTCATAGAGCGTTCATAGGTGTTCCGACTTACATGGGCAGGATCTCGATTGCACCGATATGGGGGATCATGCGCTGAGATGGTGTTGGCTTCATCATATCGGGAATTTTGGCATAGTTTTCCTGCGTTGGTGCTAGTAGCCACTGAATAAACAAGGTTAGTCATGGAAGACACTGCTTTTCTCATGCGTCGTTGCAGCCTACCCGCATCATGAATGTCAGCATATAAGCACTGGCCATGCGAACATAATCATCCAGTATTGGGAGAGCACGACAAACTTCACATGCCCAAGAGGCGCATTCGAAGGTGTCAGTCTCGATACGAGAGCGAAAGAATAATTCAATAGACACTTCGTCGCTGTGGCCGAGGACATCCTTGAATGATGCCCCTGACATGAGCATTTGTCTCGCCCCTTTCACATAGTCTGTGTACATATTACTTAGATAGGAATCGTCTGGAATTATCAGTGGATAAACGAGATGAACAGGAATCCTGAGCGGAGTCATGAGGTCCTCCTGGGCGATGCTTAGGTCCCAAGCATTTCCGGCCTGGTGCTTAGATGGCGACAACCCATAGGACTCGACATAGAAGGAGACTGCAGATCGTAAGGATGTCGCCCAGGACTGTGCGTCGGTCATGATCGCAGAGCTAGAAGTAGGAAAGGACGGTGATAGGCTAGTGATCGAAGGATCGCTTGAGGCCGATGATGCTGAAGTGATTGATATCCGCCGCCGCAAGGGATCACTTTCTGCTCGCTATTAGGAGTGTCAGCACCTGCATATAGCACAGAGAGAAGCCCTTAGCGTATCGATAATGTTCACACAGTTCACGAACACATCCTCTGCTCCCGTCGGGACTGGTGGGGTCCGATTATTGGAACTGCTACATACCTGCCGCTCCTCTTCAGATTCAGTGGGCTGCAAGCGCAGACGCAAGGCAGGATGCCACTTCGAGCGCTCCACATTCAAGGCAACGGCGGCATTTCGGCCGAAACCGTCATGTGAATGTTGTGCTGCAGAATATCTAACCTCGTATTGTTTTCCTCTTGAATAGTCTGCCAATATTTGTCCAAGTAGCCGCTCCCCGTCGGCCGTAGGCAATAACTTCAATTTTGAAAGGAGAGATGCAATATCTCGCGCAGGTTGCTTCTCTTTCCGGAGACTGGACGGTAAGGAACTTTCGCCACTGTTAAGATACGCACTATGTTCGGTTTGTAGTAGAGGTTCCTGGTCGATTGGTACATCAGGTGAAGGTGGAGATTCCTTGCTATGGCTTTGCAGGGGCGAGGTGTTCTCTCTGTCGTCGTCTAAAGCTGTGGGTAACGTTTGCACAGCATCGATCACATCCTGGTTGGATGCGCCGCATCGAATTTGTCCAAGTAGGCTCTGAAATTGTGGGGAAGACCCATCACGTATGCATTCGATCAATCTGTTCAGAGTATTTTGATATGACTTTGATCTGGCCTCCGACCGTTGAAAAGCGGCGCGCCGCCGCAGGTCCAGGGCCAGATCTATCATACAGTCTGTCCCTAATAATTCACAGAGTTGGCAAGGAGGCGGTCCCCCGGTGCATTTTGTCTTGCGCTTTTTGCACGCTTCACATGCTACTGATATTCGAGCAGTGGATCGTCGCTTTCGAGTGCCTGACGTCGATGGTCTAGCGAGTTCCCCTTGCCGCTCCTCGGCAGGCTTGATTTTCCTCGCTTTCGATGATGATGGCATTTCTTCCCACTCCGGTATATCTGTGCTAGATATTTATTAAGCCGTGGTGGGCGGTAAGCTTCGCGCTTTGCAAACGGTGTCGAAAAGGATCGAGTTGTTGGCAGCGGATAAATAGCTGAAGCTAGCAGCAGATGACGTCAGCCGCTAAAGGTGCATTGGAAAAGTGCTCGTCATCAGGGTCGTAGCTAGTTGCTGACACCAAGTGAAGATGTGCCCACCGCTAGACCTTCCGCATTAAGAAGGAGGCGGACTGCTGTTCAATCGTAGGTCTCTCGTCGCAACCACTAGTCCGTGCGCAGAGGGGTAACTGTGTCATAATGGGGGCGACTTTCAGAAGCTATCCCTTCAATCCGGATCGAATCTCGAGGGTGCGGAAGGAGTGCTTGGCAGACCGATTGGCTTGCACTAGCAAATCTCTGAACACCATGAAGTTCCTGCTCAAGTCGAGTTTCCAGTTTCCAGTCTGGATTCGATCTCGTTCACAAAGGAGGCAAATATCTCCCATGCCTTGGCCGCGGAATAAGATGCCGTCGACATAGCTTGAAGATAAATAAGAACCCTGTGTATGTCGCTTACCATTTCAGCTGCTTCAGACGGTAGATGTATAGCATGCATAGCCAGTTCTAAGATCAAGATTGAGCCTGCTTGACAGATATAATGTAGTGTGGACCAGCATGGAAACACCAGAGGGAGTGTCTGCAAATCATCCACACTGAACAGTAGAGCTAGCATCGATCTTGCCGCAGTAATAGCTTCTACTGCCTTCGACTGGTTGAAATCCTGAGAGGGCGAAGATTCATTCCGGATTTTCCGCTCCCAATCGCACAGAAACGGACGATATAACATCATCTGTAGACTATAGATTGACATCGCAAGTTCAAGGTTATGGCGATCGCCCAGTAACCAAGCACCATCTAGGTTTTGTAGGCGTCTGACAACGGTGCTGGCTAATTTCTCGATTTCGAGTTGGAGCAAACTGACACTATGCTGGAATTCGGCCCAATTCGCGGTGAGCCCTCCAGCGTATAATGTTGTACTGATTCGACGAGAGATGCGGCTGACATCAACGCGTCGCGAGAAATGGGTCGAAAGAGATTGGGCAGAAACGTCGGACAGCAGAGGTTGAGGAGTGCCAAAAGCGTGTGGTAAAGATCCCTGCCTCTGGGTTATCAGCGGTGATTCCGAATGGTTTTGAGCTCCCTCCTGTGATATGGTCATTTCTAGACCCGATATCATCGAGGTTGGTCGACCGGTGACTTCGACCAGGAACATCTCCAGATTATACAACGCGTACCAGGTAGATGCCCGATTTCCGCTTATACGAGCCTCGTCCGGACCAGGATGCACTGCCAAATGCATGCCTAATGATACGGCGTGACGTATAGCGTTCCCAACACAGATCCAAGCTCTATTTTGTGTGATTAATGGACAAGCACAACACGAATAAGCAGCTAGGCTATAATCATACCTTGTGATCTGATGATTCATAGTCAAGTCCAACGCTAGAAGACCTAGACCCTCTACCTGTGCAGTCGTGGGATGATCCTGCACCATGCGATGATCGAGTCCTAGTTTCCTTGCACGTGCGTAATACAAGTGGTCTTCTTGACCAGCTGACCTATTAGCGTTACCTTGCATGAGCCATTTTAACCCCAAGGAGAATATCATGTTCGCGATAGCAAGCCAACGGCGTCTGTCGATAAGCGAATAGTCTTCCCGAAGATAGTATGATTGTGACAGTTTTTGAAGGAATTTATCCTTGTCAATGAACGGAAGGGTGGGATACAGCGTGTCAAAGAAAACACCGACCATTGTTATGGCCATGGATGGCCACTAGTACTCATTGACAACGTCTTCGTTGACTGAGAGGAGATCTGCTTGGTCTATATGGTAGCTTAGATCTGCGTCTGCTAGCTATTCATGCGCCTGTGAGTCGAGTTGTCCCCAGTTACAAGTCACATTTTGAAGCATGTGTTCTCGAGCTCTTCGCAGCCAAGAGATTTCGGATAACTTTCCAACGAATCCACTTGCGCCTGCCCCTTGCGCTAGGTGAATGCGGTCGGATGATGTTCCCTGGGAATTTGGGCTCCCGACACTTACAGGGGCCAATTCCTCGCCGTTGATACTCGTTGCGGGTGTCCTTGTACTCCCAGATTGATCATTGTCTGAAAGAGATACCACTGTCTCTGTCATATCGTCCTGTTCCATGTACTGGATAGCATCAGTGTTGAGTAGAAGGCAAACGTAGAAAATATACCTTGATAAGTGGCTGCCCGATTCAAAGATCGTCTGCCTTATTAACGTCGACTTCGTGAACAGATCGAAGAACACTCAACAGCTCGCTCTTTTCACCACGCAATTTCTCGACCAGGTTGGTCAGGCTCTCATTCCTCTGGGTGCTGGTTGCAAGGAGCCTTTGCGTGTAAGCTATATAGAAATGAAGCCAAAGGCGCACAGCCCAGTCACCTGTTTTGCCTTTCTCTTTTGTTGTCACCATAGACGCAATCTTTTTGTACTGTAGCACATGCTCTGCACGGCCAGCTACCCGTGCACTTCTTCTTCCCGAGCTTACATCCCTCACATGCACGAGAAGCCCGGGTTAGGGTTACCATACAGGTGTAGCTCTAGACCCTGGCGAGGGATGGCGGCCTTCGAAGGCTTCATCGATGAAGGTGACTGCATGACAGGTGTCTCGACATCACCCGGCGAGGGGCTGCGGCCTGGCTTAGTGACTGCTTCACCTGTGATAAGCAATATGATTAAAGGAGATGTATCATCTTGGGAGTTTCGCGAAGTCGTACCGGATGCTGTGTCCGAAGATCCCTCTCAGACGTTGAAGCGCTACACAGGCCAGTGCAAAATGAGGTGGGACAAGCTGAATATGTCTTCGATTGCTATGTATCGCAAAAGAGTGGCAGCATCCCAAACCCAGATTCAGACGGACGTCGGTAAAGGCTTGGTGGCTACTATTGGTGGAATGCAGTGCCGACGCTAGACCCTGCTGCTCCGCTTCCAATCTCTTGGCACAAGGGCGCACTCCAATTGTGAATGGTATATTTGACTGTCAGACTTGCAGCTGACTACAATGTTACGGGGAACAAACTCCAAACTAACAAATGATATTTGCCGAAGTAATTGATGCCTGTCATTCAAATGACTTATCCTCTGTACTACACGTCGAGATTCACTAAGTTATCTAAATATTCCTTATGTCTGACAAGATTTCGTGAAATCACGGCATTTGTGACGGGTGGCGAACATGGCTGCCATTAAACAACAAATCTGTCAGACCCGATAAGTCTCCACCCCTAAATTGTAACCGAATAAGCTGCTCTGCATCCCACAACTAGGACACGTTCTCTGCGCTTTGTGGACCCCTGTCAAGATGACTCTGAAGGAAAAGAGTTCCGGAGTCATATCACGTGATATCACATGGTATCACATGGTCCTACATATTGTCCAATGAATTTTTGCTCTGGTTTGGCCTGACGCGAAATCTTAAAATTGACATGTGCTGTTTGGCTGCTAAGGTATTATTTCGGCCTTGAAAATTGTTGAGATTCACATGTCACCGCACCACGCGGTTGTATCTCTCTGCGATATACATGAACTGCCAAAAGTGGCGTAACTATGGCGCCCCAACCGAAATGGCGGAATAAATAGGCCGATAACATGCACGCGGGCTTTGTTGGATAGATACATATAACTCCCGTCTCCTCCCATTTACTTATTTGATAGCGTTTGTTGTTTTTCTACAGTCGTAGCACTCAAACTGAACAAGATAGAACGGTTGGACTCCGTCGAAAGAAGATGATCGGAACTTCACGACTCGAGTATCTCTGGGTGGTGACTTGGGTCGTTATCTTACACTCAATTGGTCCACTCTCCGCCATCTATTGTCTCACATCCAACTTCTTACCAGAACGGTTACGAGTCTGGAAATACCTGGAATACTGGGTGTTGGTAGAAACGCTGTTTTTCTTTCTCACCTACGGCTACCGTAAATATCAGCTGCAGCATCCCGCGTTACATCCAGAGCCTCTGGAGAAAGAGGAAAGACTTCGGCTCTTCCGCCGTTGTATTATAGGCTCTCCAGATCTCGCAACATTCTTTTCAAGATGGTTCTTAGGCACACCTATTATTGCTATCAAGAGAGAGAACATCAAAGAGTGGCTTTGTTGGGCATTCCTAAACACGGCAACAGCCAAACATACCCACGATGACGAGTTAGACACATATGTTGAGGAGCTGGAGGCGAGACGCGGAATGAGTTTCGAGCCTGGAAGAGCTGATGTCAAAAGTATAAGGCTGACGCTCGATAAGGTCAACGCGCTTCATCGAAGTCTGACTTGGTATCTGGTAATGCACTATTCTACAAAGAGCTGTGTAGAAAGAAATTCCAACTAAGCCCAAATTGCCTAGTGTATCTTTGTGGTCGACATCCTCACGCATACCTACATGTATAGTAACGGGTTTAATTTTTACCGGGGCTCGATTGGGAATTCCGTCAAGATTGTCCCTCCGCGACCGCAGGTCCTGATGGCGAACCATCGATCGCCAACCCAGGCTCTCAGTTACTGGCACCGTCCCCATACCTCACGAAAGGAATTACCGATAGTCTTTCTTCACGGCATCGGAGTTGGCCTATACCCATATATGCAACTCCTGAAAGAAGTAAATTTGGGCCGCCGGCGTGAGGATGGTATGATCGGGATACTCGCGATCGAGATTTTGCCCATATCGTCTCGACTCACCCCCCCGGTACTCCGAAAGGAAGGCATGTGTCGACATCTTCAATGTATTCTCGATCATCATGGGTTCGACACATTCATCCTAGTATCTCATTCGTCAGTAACCACTCACTCTCTATATTGAGAACGGTGACTCATATGACCTACAGATATGGCTCGGTGATCAGTACCCACCTACTCAAGACACCTGAGCTGACCAATCGAATTTTTTCAGTCATCCTTGTAGATCCCATATCAATACTATTGCATCAACCAGATGTGGTATACAACTTTGTGAGAAATGATCCCTCTATAAAGTCGACTGCAAGCACTGACATAATTTAGATGGTCCGAACACCTAAGTTCGCCAATGAATGGTTGCTATGGTACTTCGGCTCGAAAGACATGGGCGTGGCTTATACACTCTCTCGCACCTTCTTCTGGTCGCAGAATATCATATGGAAGGAGGACCTCCTCGTCCATCGTGCGACAGTATTTCTCTCCGGGAATGACTGCATTATCAACGCTCCACAAGTGCAGAGATACCTACAGGGCGTCGAAGAGCAGGGCCTGGGCAAAGATAAGGCAGGACATCCTGATGAGAGCGTACCGGCGTGTTGTGAGCGCGGCTGCGTGGAAGTGGTTTGGTGCGATAGTCTTGATCACGGACAGATCTTTGCCCTGGCTACCTGGAGAGAGCGATTGAAGCTTGAAATCATAAGAAAGGCACGATACGCAGTGGACCATGGCTCTTGCGTACCGGCCTGTGAGGTCTTGTCAGACTACGCTTTGTCGCGTTGATGGGTATCGGATCCGGCATTGTTTTGCGTTTTTAGCACGAGTTCTTTGGGTACGCGTGTTAACTGGATCTGGTTTTGTGTGCTGTGAGACTCGGGACAGTGCCTATCTTTGTATTTTTTCCTTCTTTCATAATATTACTAATGAGGAGGAGGTAAATTTTATGCTGCACATTAACAGATATAAGAGCCTCAAGAGGGTTTAAGGTTCAGTAAGAAGAGTGGAGTAGGAATAGATATGGCGTAAACATTTAATCGGATAAATGTCCCGTCTAGTCTGCGCACATGTCTCTTGGAATACTTAGTTGATTATGAAGGAAGGATCACTATCTAAGGTCGTGGTAACGATCGAACCCATAATTTCTTGGCCAGAGCTGTACTGTGCCCAACTGGGCCTACTTGGAGAGATCATGGTCCGATCATTCCCATATAGACCACCTCGTCCTTGCGGTGAAACTGTTCGAGAAATCCTAGAAAGCCAGCCAGCATGATTTGGCACAATAAGGACGCTTCGCGTGATTTTCATAGTAGAATTATGCTCAACGCCCCTCCGGTCACACAAAGACAGTACAAGAAGCAGATTTTTCAATATCTTCTCTCATGCTTTTGACTTTAGTAGAGCTATCATCGTCCCCATCGCCACTCCACATCGTAAGTAGAGCTACCAGTCTATGGTATCCATTTCTTCTGGCTATATCTCTCGGTGTCTCGCCAAAATTATTAATGGAGTGAATCTCAACGTCATATCGCCTCAAGAGGGCTTCTGATACCCTGTAGTGGTCGTTCGTCGTAGCCAAAGAGAGGGGAGTGTCGCCGTCAACATCTTTTGAATTAGCATCAAGGTCATCTCGATCCAACAGCATTTCAAAAATGTCCGTGGAAGGTATGTCCGTGGAAGGTAGCCCACGCCAGGGGAGTTTGACCGTCAATGTCTTGAGAGTTTATGTCAGTGTCGCTCCGCTCGATAAGCAGTTGCACAGCGTCTCTGTGTCCGTGTTCGGCGGCTAGGGAGAGCGCAGTCTGGCCATAGCAGTTAGTGAATGATAAGTTGGAGCGACGCAGACCAAGCAGAAGCGCCATCAGGTTCGTGTCTCCATTAGCAGTTGCCCATAATACAAGTCTTTTCCCACAGGCACCTTTAGCATCTTTGCTACATCTCGAGCTCGCGTCCGGCAATTCCCAGTCTTCTCGCCTAGCGATACCCGAGGCTTTCGAAGCATGTGAACCGTGATAGGTTCTGCGAACTGTTTTCACCGCTGACTTTTGTTGTAATATTTTCGATGAGAGCAAGTCATGATTTAAATTCAAAGAATTTCTTTGTTTTGTTGGGCGGGAGATGTGATCTGAAGACTGAACGAACCTTCTCGAGCTTGGTTGCCAGACTGTTAAGATCCGGTTGAACACACAGTGAGAAATTAGAGCTCCAGTCAGCCTGCATTTAAAATGGGATGCCACCGACAATTCAGAGACAATTTGAACTGCTTGGTGAATGGTTTAGTCCAAGGAGCGGTTTTAGATGTTTCCTAAAGCAATGATTGGCGGAAGGTATGCCCGGTTTCCCTGCAGGTTTAGTGTCAGCATTACAAGCCACCAATCACCAATTGGTCTGTGTCATTTAAAGAGAGCAATGCCGGTAGGCGATCAAAACTAAACTTATTTCCGACCATGGTCGCTCTGGTATCGAGATCACCGCGTGCGGCGAAGGGGACGATGTCAAGAGTGTTTTCTCGGGAGAATATTAGAAGTGCTTCGCGACGAAGTTGTTGACAGGTGGAGAGGATAGGAAGTGCTAAACTGTAGTTTCTTAATCTTCGAGGTCGGTAGCTTTTGCTAAGAGCAAAGTCGTCGAGTGGTCGAGGTAAAGACCGCCAGATACCTCAAGATCTCAACCCGGACTTCAGTCGACAGGTCGAGCAGCGAGATGCCCCTCGCTGGGGGGCCGAACGGCTGCTTGAGGTCATTGCACCTCACCGAATGTGTGGCCTTTTGTGATGAAGCTTGCAGTGTGTTCAAATACGGATGCCTATATCGGCTCAAGCCAGCTACTTTGTCGATTCGGGTCTGAGCTTCATCAGTAGACTTACCTTTACCTCAAAAGACTGTTAGAAAGGAGGAGAGAAGAGCGAGGAAACGAGTCATTGGTTTGTTGCGTTGACTTTTTGGTAAAATGCGACTTTCTAGGAAATGCGCGATCAAAATGCCCATGCAATTACTGTGACTGCACAAGAGACCGAGGACGGTTTATATGGCAACTACGCCAATAGCAGCACAGGCCATACCGGGGGGTTTTTTGGCCCGATTTTCGTCACTTTTCCGGCGCCTAGGCATGTGAAGAATTATGAATTTCTGCAGCGCAATAGCTCTGGAAGTAATGAGCTGCACAGCATAGGATCGTCAGCTCCAACCTCTTTGCTTATTCTCTTGCCACATGTTACAATCTTAGCAAGAGTGAAGCTTCATACTAAGCACAAGTAAGCGGAAGTAAAGAAATATGTACTAGGTGTCATTGGCGCCTTGACCTACGTAGTGAGACTGCTTTGGGTTACAAGCCGCCAATCGGCCAGGGCTAGTCAAGATAAACCAGAGTTGGATCCAGCTTCTCAACCTCCATTTCCCCTCCCGGTCTAGTGGAACCCACCCTTTGTTGAGCTCTCGGAGTTGGTGGGCCCAGTCTCAAGATTGGCTCTGCAGCGCGTCCACTTGCGATTGTCTCTTCACCTATAAATCTCCCGAAGACTTCGTAAATGCTACACTGTACATGGCCTATACTGTGGGAATGGCGCTCATACAGGACGATCGCCAACGACCACTTGGGACAGTATGACACGCACGGGAAGGCTCCCTCCTGAATTCAGTACCCTCTTCGATTGAACGATCGCATAATGATGTTTTGGTCTCAGAATCACTGTGTTGGCGATGGAGAGTACTCGAGATTGCCGTGATGGCCAGATGATCACCCATTACCACTGCGAAGGCAGAACAGATGAAATGTTAAAAAAATAAGTCAGTACTCCTTATGTAGAGCGGCGAAAAGTCTCCTAGGTCTTAGAAATAGCATGCTAGGTGCAGACGCACAGGAGCATGAACCCCAGGGTTGTGTCTAGAGGGCGAATCATCAAGAGAACTTCAACTCGAGATGGCAGCTCCAGGCATTCTCCTCGACCGAGTACGAAGCCTTATTAGCCGAAGAAATATTCCTCGAATGAGCGCGCGTTAATTGGCTCTGCGCAGTCGTGGGAAAGTCGGCATTCTAAACTGCTCAATGGAGTCAAACAGCTCGAGTTCATCGGTTTATTTGATATCAACGGGTAAGCTCTTCCACACTAACAAAGGATTGGATACCAAAACTTATCAATCCGGTGCCCAACTCGACGCCATCAGCGCGACAGGATCTCCTTTCTACCATTCTTTGCGAGACTTCCGAGTAAGCGACGCAGAGGCAGGTAGAGGTGCCGGAATGAATGATTCTACAGTCATTCCTCATGCGAAATCTTGTCCGAACCTTACCCACGTCTGACTTGACGGTGAGTGTAAAGATATGTCACATTTAGTCAGACGTTTTGAAGAAAGAGAAATTGCCCCGGAGAGCGCTACAGGCGAATGGATCTTGAAAAGAAAAGGCAATACTCCTCCGGTTTGCACTTTAGGTGCTCACACCGGTTTAGTGAGTCTCCTTCGTAGCCAATTACAAGATGATACCAGTGAAAGACCTGCTTTGAACACTTCCGACTTCCGCCTTCCTCTTGGGTGGACTTAACCATCATCCGAAAGAGATTATCTTTTGATGGTATCAACCAATCAACCAAAAGAAACATATCCCATCACCAACGCATCCTATAGATCAACCTGCGCTACCGTCTCCCGCCCCAGGCAGTCTTGGCTTTATCACCGCGGACATCTTCTGCAGTGGCAGCGAACGTAGAAGATTCTGCAATCTGTGCGCTTCAACTGCGTGTTGCCTAATGATTTCGTCCTTTCGTAGTAATTCTGCTCGCAGCCACAATCTCATATCAATCTCGGGTAAAGCGGCATCGGCCATGTCTCTCGTCATGTGCGTCTCAGACTCCAACAGATGAGGGTCGTCCATCGTTAAGATTCGTCGGCGCTTACCCTGTGGTTCTGTCTTTTCTAACACCATCGTTGTCGAGAGGGTTAGATGAGATGAGTCTCGAGTCAGGTCGTGCTCCGACAATTCCTCTAGATGTCGCCGCCGCTTATGTTCTTCGAGGTTCTCTTTCCTCGTGAAGGCGAACCCTGAGCTCCTACTACAATTAGGAAAGGGACAGAAGAGAGGCTGCTTAGTTGATAAGTGTATCTTGTGCACCTCTCGTTGGTGCCTGAGGAGGCCACCGAGTAGGTAAATCCAGGGTTGTGTTCACATCCCGTTTCGCGACATTTGTACGGGCGCTCATGTCTGTTCATGTGCTTATTCCACTCACAGACTCTTCTGGAGGTCTGGTTCTTTCCGGTGCAGTCAACATGGTCGCAATATATCTCGTTATGTGTATTGCGAGAAGGAGACCGAGCTCGCGGCACGGCATTTTGCACTTTACTGAGTTTGTTGTTTAGAGCCGGGACGTTACCGTCCGTCATGATAACGTGTGATATTCTTGATTCCCGCGAAAGTATGAGTTGATACGCAGTAAATTTTGCTAGGTAGCGGATATAGATATTGTTTCTTCAACTATCGCAACGGCGTTTCTTCTTGAGACGAATGTCTCCAATCTTCTTTATGCCCAAAGAACACGATTGAGACCATGTCAAGGGACAATCGGGCTCAAATAGAAAAGCAAAGACAGTAGTCCCTTTGCTATAATGTTATCCAGCCGCTAGCAAGGCCATGTTCTAGACCTTTTCAGGCTGTGCATCCCGGCTAATAGCGACCGACAGAATTCGTCACACCTGAAAGGCATCACCCTAGGCGTCCCGGGTTACGGTTGAACTGCAACAAATACGCCTAGATGAATTACAGCTTTGCCTAAGCACGACGTGTTACTGCCAATTTCTGACTCAACCAGTGAATTCAAGATCAGAATGGTAGTGGCTAGGCACCCATCAGGGTTTATGGAAAGAACCCGGAACTCATTTAGAAAATCTTCTTTAGCGATCATGCCTAAAAAGCGACGGAAAGATTGGCAACCAACCAAGAGTCATAAACCCTGCTCCTCCCTACGTCAACACCGGTTTCTTTTTCCGGTAATTTCAGGGTCAATCAGCTTTCCCACATTAGCTCATACCCGACCTTCACTTTTCCCGTTAGGTAAAATAACTTGCCCCCCAGAAGGGTTCCTTTAGTATAGTGCCTCAAGGTTGGCAATTTGTAGTCTGTTTTATTCGTAAAGTATCGAATTGGCAAAACGATTTGTTATTCTTGCCGCGGTGTCATTATGCCGTTATTTTGGTCTAATTGCTCAAGCTCTACTCTTTAATGTAGGCTATCTCATACCTTATTTAGCTCCCTTCTTAGTGCATGTTGTAGATGAGCCATTACAACAAGATCGAAATACCTTGCCTGTGCCACGAATGGTGGCCCGTAGTGTGAATTTACCCTGTGTGAAACCACCTTTCAGATAGTCTGACTGCTACTTTCTCGCAGCAATGATGTTGGTTTCAGTGTCTACTATTTCTACGATACGGGCAATCGCCTTGAGGTGCTCTCTTATGGAGTCAACTACGATATAAAATTGAGAATTGGAACGGTTATCTTATGGGTTAAGGACCCAACAGCTAGGCTTTTATAATTGTATTATGTCCCCCGCGACCAATCATACTTGGTGCACTCTCACAAGAAGTAACATTGGTGGAGAATTAAGTACAAGAAAGAAACATGTGTGTGTAATTGTTTTCTCCTGACTACATCAGCTTAAAGTCAGATGCACCATATTCAACTTTAGTGATCAGCCAGAGGACGCAGTGAAGAAGATTTCGTCAGGTCAAGTGCCACGAGTTTGCGTGGAGCATCGGCGTCGCTCTTCAAATTACTATCACTAGATACTGGTGAAGAGAGATGTGCGATATTCTCGGCCTTTGGGTGTTCCTTGCCCGTCTTTTGGTGACCGGTAAAGGAGTCGTCAGTAGCTTTTGATACTGCAAAATCTCCAGAGTCGAAGAATTTTCGTTCCTGAAAAATTAGACTTAAAGACTCAGAGACTAAGGAGTCAGACTCACTTTCACTCGAAGAAGGTTGTCCTTGATTGGTAAACTCCCATACCGTGCAAGAGCGTGCTGCTCAGGGTCAGTAAGATGCTATATTGGTGAACTTGATATTTGAAGCCCACAAGGCGGCCTAAACCTACCGTATTTGATGGTTCCTTGAGATTTAGTTGGCTCATTGTGTTTTGGAATAAGTTGAGGCTCTTAAGAAAATCAGAACGGAGTCCCTGTCGTGAGGCTAGCAATAATCAAACTCACTTGCTGTGGATCACCATCAGACGATCCAGGCTCTTGGATGGATCCAGGCAGATCCTCCGTCATCGTGCAGCCACAATCATCCTTTAGCTCCAGTCTTTACCCCCAGTCTTCTCCAATCCTCAGTTGGTCAAGGTTTATTTTTTCATGCCTCTCAACCACAACCAAGTGCCGTCTTTTATCTCCTGCTGCGCTAAGGCCAGACTTGACCTCACAGTTCAACGTATTTCTGTGACATGCCTACTCCCTCGCCCCATCATCGGCACCAAATATCGCTAGAGGGTGCATTTGATCTTTTATTACCGTATACTGAGCTGAGCTCTAAGGAGCGACAACACTCAAGTCGTACTTTCACTACCGTTATCGAAGCGTGCGAATCTCTACAAGATCACAAGCCGTACAAGAATATCACCCTCGTCCGACCAACTTACGAACATACGCGCTCCGAAGTGTCAAGAGATAACTTTCTACGTTTTTGCTTCGAACACACCTAGATTACGGTCAATGCCCCTCAGAGTGAATCGATCTCTAAAATCCACCATGCGAATACCGACCATGGCCCCCGATTGACCTCATTTACTAAGACGCTCCATATAAGGTTATATAAATAGTTTTAATTATCGAGATTTATTAGTCATCTATATAGTGAGAGCCTCGACGAGGAAAACTCCCTAACCTTCGCCTACCGCCGTTTCCGATCTCCACAGCCTATAATCTTTTTCTAGGACTACCCTAAAGGCTAGCAACTTTAAGAAGAGACTATCTTATACGTGATCGTCACCGTTATATCATATCACGCTTATTCGACCGTGATAAAGTAATAAGGCGGGTTTCCTAGGATAGCACTCAGAGGGCATAGGATAATAATAGATTTCCACTCAGTAACGAATCCAATATTTTTGTAACATTAGAGGTGGCATATATTATCCCTCATCCACTAATGACACTCTCGAGTGGGGACCATAAGTTAGAAATGTTACGGAGCTGACCTGTTCGCGGCCCGGTATGATACACCTAACGACCAATCGCTTATGCATCACAGGACAGGAAGGTAACCCGATGACTTGGCATAGATGCTAGGGAAACCATGAAGGAGGTATGTCACGTGATATGGATCTCCTGGCCCAGAAGGATCTCATGGGATCTTGGTGAGATCCGTGGGATCCTCGAGAGCAGTGAGATCCGAGGGAACATTTCATTACTATATAGTTAGGGCTCGGCCCGCACCATAGGACTACTCTCTGTAGTCAACTTCGTTATTCCTAGCGCACCCTAGGACTTGAACCAAGTATATTCCCTACACTTACCACTCCATTGAACCTCGTGAACGCCTTCGACAAGACCAAACCCTTTGGACACGTGATTGACGTACGTTGAGAACGGTTCATTACAAGAAAGTTTCGTGTTTTCTACTTAAAGTTGTCTTATAGCCTCTTAATATCTGGGTCTTACTTTAATGATCTATTCCTTATTTAACCATCTATAATAGGACGTATCTAAAAGAACCGCCCCTACAATTCTAAACATATTCGATGACGGTGTAGTACGCCTCATCGAAGCCAATAACATCGATCGAACCCGTAATACGATTACTTTAATAATGGAATTCCACTAATTATTTGGTCGTTTCGAAGTCTATTTCGAACCCTAGGGGAATTAATTATATACATACCGAATTAATTCAGTACGAGAGGACTTCATGCGCTATCCAATCCTCCCTATAGAGAGCCGTGCTCTCTTTCTAACTGAAACAAGAACGATTGACCCCCCTTCTCCACGATTACTCGCTATCCACGCCGCCATTACCCATATCCTCTACTTGAGTGCCGCAGGTTGTCATATCGACCGCATCCTTCATGACCTTGATCGTGGGGATATAGTGGTAGACGGATCTATATATTTGGGATATCTCACGACGCTCAGAGTGGGGGGTTGGTGGGATGGACGGATTGGCGCTCATTGAAGGTGGCTTAATCATCTTATCACCCATCAGAACCAACCTGGCCCTGATCTTTCTCCGAGCTGGACATGTGGATACCTTCCTCCATCTTCCATTGTTTTAGCTCAAGAACCACATTCATTTTCCCATTGGCGATGATCGTTCGGTATGTGAGGATTTCCTCCTCCTCAGCGTCCTTCCTGTTCTTATATAGCTGAGTGCAGAGTTTGTCTGCTTCGTCAAAATGCGTTGCCCCTATAGGAGGAATGTCGGCGAGCACAGCCAGCATAAGATGACATGTAATTTAATAAAAGAGATGCATGCCTTGCTCTTGGAGCATATCGTTGCATAGCTTACGAGCGCGACGCTTATCGTCATCTTCAACAAACGCATATGCCTAGAATATTAATCAGTCTACCACACAAGCAGCATTCTGGTTTGAGTACCTTCTCGAAGGTAGAGGCCCATTTTTACTTTCCTTGACTGATACTCATCGTCTAGTGAGTGCAATACTGGAAATCCTGTCACCCACCGATGAGTATTTAGTTGGAGTCTGATAAGGTTATCTACCTCCCATAAGGTGCATCAGATCTTACAGGTAGATCTCTAGGCGGAAGTAGGATCAGAAAACGGGTTAACAAAGAAAGTGAGCTACATCGGTGATACTGCACAGTATTGGTTTTGTATAGTACACCACGATCTCGATTTTTGTATTATTAGTAAACAGTCTTTATAACTATCTTTCGAACCTCACGTAACTGAGGGATGTAAACCGCCGTTAACCATTAGTCAATACATTAGGAGAAACTATAACATTTCGGGCTAGATCAAGGCCACTTATTATTTAGCTATTGGAGAAAGAATGTTATAGTGTGTCTTAATGGGGAGGCCAGTTTCGGGACCGACATTGACGACTGGAAAACAACTGAGCTGCGTTAGCAAAACTAGAGGGTACGCCTGAACGAAATTTATACGATACACTCTAAGGAAAAGAGCACGAAAGCCCATCAGACGCGTCTCGGGGGGTCCCAGAACCTGACGCGTTTGACGCGCCTTAGCGTCGGCTACGCCCGATTGGACAATGCCAACCACACGCAGAACACCAGCAGCTCCAGCGACACCACGACGAGCTCCCTCGGGAAGAGTCAGGAAACCCAGCGCAAAAGCATCCCAACTGATCGCTGAGAATGACTCGGACCCGGAGACGATTTCGGTGATTGCAGACGTTAATGAGACCTGGTCTCCCCAACGCAGAGGTCTGCAGGAAGCCAGGGGAACCACTCTAGAAGAGCTTGTGAATGTCATTTCGGACTTGAAGGAAACCATCGCAAGTCAGAATAACACCCTCCGCGACATACAGGAGGAGTTGGAAGAGTTGAAAAACCAAAATGGCGAACTCCAGGGCACGGTTCGATCTCTCGAATCCAAACTCGAACGGGCCACTTCCTCCCTCACTCCACCACGCTCCTGGGCGTCAGTGGTGAACGGCGACAGTGCAACTCAAGCCCACACAGGACCCACCGCGCTGACCAACTACCCCCAAACGACAAAAGAACCTCAATGCCTGCGCATCAGCACCAAGGCCAACCGAACCGAGGACGAAGTGAACGGAGAAACCCTGACTAGAAACCTCCCCATCGGAAGAGCCATTGGCCTCATCAGACAAGCCTTTCTCAAGACAGACAAGACAAAAGACGTCGGAGTGGTAGGAGTAAACACAACTCGCACGGGATATGTGGTGCGCTGCAAGGATGAACAATCAGCAGCGACGGCAAAAGCACACACAGAATGGCTGCAGGAACTCGGCAACAATACCAAACTGGTCAAACCACGATACCCAGTGGTTGTACATCGGTCTCCTACAGAAGGCATTACGCTACCAGATAACGAACACGGATTCATTCGCCAACTCATGGAGGAAAACGAGATGCAGGCCAGGAGCGCCCACATCGACGAAGCCACATGGCTCATTGCAAAGGGCAAGTCCCTCGGCTACCATGCGACTCTCGGAATATGGTTTGACACCAAAGCTGCGGCACAAGAAGCTATTACACATGGACTAGTTTATGGTCAACGACACATGGGGGTGGCGGCCTATGACCCTGAAAGGAAGAAGTGTTACAACTGCCACGAACCAGGACACTTCCAGTGGGACTGTCCAAAGTCTAGAGGATGTCACGCTTGCAATTGCGATCATGAGCGACGAGACTGCCCGCCCGATGAAGGAGGCAGGGACAGCAACCGCCAGGTACCGGAACACACCAGAATCAGCGAAGAGAATGGGCTTACCCAAGCAAATCGTTCCCAATGAATCAGAACAGTTTGAAAATACTGCAGTTGAACATCATGAAGTCGCGCGCCGGTATGGAGGCGCTCGTCAACGACCAAGCAACACAGGACCTCGACGTGCTGCTAATACAAGAGCCCTCCATCACTTCGTACCAGACGTATGTGAACCACCGCCTCTGGTACACATATCAACCAATACATCAGGACGACAATTTCCGGAAACGTAGCCTCATCTACGTCAACAAAAGAATCTCTACCTCGGCACACCGCCAAATCGCGTGTAATCATCCAGACGTCACGGCCATTAAGATCTGGAACGGAGAAAGACAGATACTGGTGTTCTCGGTCTACATAGAACCCATTGACCTGCATCATGTCCACGAAATACAGAGCATGCAGGCCACGCTGAACGAGATCGAGGTAACAATCGAAGAACAGACGCGAAACCGAACAACCCCAACCAGCATAATCATAGCTGGGGACTTCAACCGCCATCACCCAGCTTGGAGCAGCTCATACGTGTACGCTAGTGTCATGGCACATGCCGAAGAACTCGTTAACTTCATCCACGCCCAAGGACTGTTTTCGTGCCTTCCCAGCGGCACTCCGACATATTGGTCACTCAGTCGACCGGGCCAGAGGTCAACCATCGACCTGACGCTCACAAATACACCTGATTCGATGGTAAAATGTGAACTGTACAAAGACAATTTCGCATCCGACCACTGCGCCACGTACTCGGAATGGGACATTCAGGTAGAACAACGAGCAGAAACCATTCCACGCCGAGCATACAAACGCGCGGAATGGGCCAAAATCGGGGATATGATCCATTCACACCTGGCGGGTCTTCCGAAGATTCAAACGGCAGAAGAGTTGGATCAAGCCGTAAAGATCCTCATCGACAGAACAACCGCCGCCATCAGCAAACACATCCCGATGGCGAAACCCAGCCCATACTCAAAGAGATGGTTTACCCCAGAACTCAAAACACAACTGAGAGAAGTGAACAAATCTCGCAGGAAGTATCAGCGCAGCTGTGCTAGGAATGGTCGCCATCATCCTTGGACAGCAGAGCTGCACAAAGCATGGCGGATCAAACGACGAAATTGGACTCGTCAACTCGAGAAAGTCAAGGCAGCAGATTGGAAAGACTTCCTCGACCAAGCCACCTCGCAGACAGTGTGGCGAGCCACGCCATACATGAAAAAGAACGACGCTTTCGCAAACCTGCCGCCACTCCGAGTGGGCGACCACGAAGTGACGGACAACCATGACAAGGCACGCGTACTATTGGAGACCTTCTTTCCACCCACCAGGCAACCGCAACCCGAGTGCATCGTTCCCCCGAAGGAGATCCCATGGGAACCAGTCACAGAACAAGAAATCACGAAGACACTCCAACGAATGAAGAAGCGGACTGCACCTGGGGAGGATGGCATTCCGATGTTGGTATGGTTCCAGATCTGGCCCTACATATCATCGATCGTGACCAGCATCTTCACAGCGTCCATCGACCTTGGTTACTACCCTCGGCAATGGAAAATGGCTAAAATAGTGGTTCTGAGGAAACCAGGCAAATCAGACTACACATCTGCTGCGGCATACCGCTCTATTTCACTTTTGAACACCCTAGGCAAGCTGCTGGAAGCGGTGGTTGCCCGACGCCTCTCCTACTATGCGGAAAAGTATGAACTGCTCCCGGACACTCAGTTCGGGGGCCGTCCAGGCCGAACAACAGAGCAAGCCCTCCTGGTCCTAGCAAATGCGATCGATCAAGCATGGCTAAGAGGCCACCAAATCGCTGGACAGTGGGGAACTCGAGTCGTTGGAGACCATCGATCCAACCCCGCTTCCACCATGGAGCAAGTCGGAGTCAGTCGAGATCACCATCAACCCAGACAGGTCACAGGCACTTGACATGGTAGCTGAATTGATCGAAGATTCAGAAGCGGTCATCTATACAGACGCCTCAGAGAAACACTCGAAACTCGGCGCCGCGGTGGTAATGGTGGACCGGGGAGGGAGACCACAGCGAACGTGGCAAATCGGAATTGGACCAGCCAGTGATTGGACGGTGCACGCCGCCGAGTTGATCGCGATCTACCATGCAGTCGAAGCCATCTATCAAGAAAGAGTCAACAGACGGAGAGACAAGAACTATACTATTGTTAGCGACAGTCAGTCGGCGATTGAAGCGATCGCCAACCCATCCAACAAACCAGGCCAAGCTATAGTCCATCGTATCCTGGATCGAATTTCGACATTTCGAGATCGACGAATAAAATTCCGGTTACACTGGATCCCAGGCCATTCAGGTATCGAAGGGAACGAATGGGCCGACCGGCTCGCAAAGCAAGCAGTCACGTCTGAAAAGCAACACCGCTTTGGTCGTCTTGTATCAACATCCAAACGAACCGCACGCAAAAATATTCAAAAGGAATGGCAAGAAGAATGGAAAGCCAGCCAAAAAGGCCAACATTTGAAAAGAATCGACGAAGGTCTCCCAGCCAGGCGGGCTTTCCGCCTTTACAGGCAGCTCACTCGACATCGAACCTACCTCATGATCCAAATGCGGACGGGACACTCCTGGCTCGCACCTCACAGCCGACGATTTAAATTCACTGATGACGACCGCTGCGTGTGTGGGGTGATCGAAACGGTAGTCCATGTGCTGATGGATTGCCCGAGGCTCTGGCAAGCAAGACAAGAACTACGAGCTCAGGTAGGGGGTACACTTGGGTGCACCGCAAGCATGCTCGGAGGAACTCCTCGAAACGGGCAGGGTAAAGTAGGCAATGGCGGGATCAAATGGAAAATAATCAACGCCGTGCTCGAATTTGCGGAAGCTTCCGGAAGGTTCAAATCACGAGCTCCGCCAGTGCGGCCAAGGGATCACGACAGGCCCCAACGAGGCTGAAAGATCGCGCATGTAGTATAGTTTCATACTCAGTAGGGATCATAGGGTAGTTTAGCACAGTAGTAGCCCAGCATATCACTCCCCACGGAGAGAGAGACCAGGGCAAATTGATTCAAGTCAAGTCAAGTCAAGTCGAGTGTATTTAGACGATTATCAGTCGCTACCTATCTCAATATAGTTGAAAGTCATTCCACCTTTCTCTGTAATGCGTCGGCGAACGACGGGTCGTTGATCTCCAAATTACTATTTTTTGAACGCTCTATGAATGACCATTCAAAGCTGATTCATCCAAGCAGAGGTCCACTACGAGATGCCCTGATACACCATATGCGAGATTGGCTCTCAATACTGAAGAACTCGAATTGGTCGCTCAATTGGCCACATGATCTCAACACAGCCGTTATGCATGACCCGGTGAAGAATATGAGACAGCTGACACCCAAATTCATCGAGCATCTTCTCGAACACGATAACTGGAGCATTAGTCGTGAGGCTCTGAATGCCTTCCCTGAATTGACTGGGAGAATACGCCGCCACGAATGATGTTGTCAATCCGCGAGCAAACTATACATAAATGCCCACAACTGGACGGACTGCGACCCTCTGCTCGTACACGTCCTTGTTCTAAGTGTACGTCCAATGGAAGCGTCATAGACCGCCGCTATTCGCTGCAAAGCCCACCGGATCACAGCGCAGAGGGTGCCAGAAACATCTAGCCTCCATATGCCTAGAATATTACTGTATACAGCTGTGCGAAATGGCCGTCCTGTCCAACTAGCAAGGAGCCTTTGTTAATTAAGTGGGGTGTGCACCAATTAGGGCCGCTTTGCAATAGGGTTGGCTCAGAATTCACCAGACTGTCCAAGGACCATTGAGGATCTCTGTATCGAGCAGTACGAAAGAGCCACGACTTGTAATGATAAAGCAGTTTCAGAACAATCGTCGGGTGTTGGCCTCGGTACTATAAGATCAGCTCTCTGCCCCTCCTGATTAGCCATGCCTCCCAGCCGGAAATGTCAGTTCATTGCTGGATCGTGGACTTTGCGTAGAAATTCCCTTTGTAGAAGCTTAACCTGCTTGATTAGGAAATCTTGTTGTCTTACCGGGTGATTTACGGAAAACAGTTCCGGAGTGACGAACACCAAATAAGGGACTACTTATCAGTGATGACACACTTTACTTAATATGGTATTGTAATTTAGTCTACTGTACCACACGAGCAGCACTCTGGCTTAAGTACCTTCTCGAAGGTGGAGGCCCAATTTTCCTCTACTTGACTGCTACACTCATCCTCTAGTATTTCATCATACAGTAAAGTCGTATAGTAAGTGTAAGACTGGAAATTCTATTACGGATTGATGAGCGGCTAGTTAGAGTTAATCAATCTACTTCCTATACTGTAAGGTGCATGAAATCTTACAGGAAAATCTTTAGGCATCGAATGATGAAAGTAGGTTAGCGGAGTTAGTAAAAAGAAAGTGAACCATTTCGGTATTATCGGTTTTGTACAGCACGATCTCGAATTTTTGTATTATTCACAAGCAGTCTTTACAGCTACTTTTCGAACCTCACATAACTGAGGAATTTGAACCGCCGTTGTGTTACGGATCAGCCACCAGCGTGCGGCCAGGATGGTCACGTTGGTACGGGAAAAGGGAAGCTGTGCCGACCGGTGATATCAAACACAACTTGGGATCACGTGACGCCAAAGGTGATCTGGGATCTGTATGGATCTGTTTGACAGAGCAACAGATCACCACGGAGCATCAAAGGTTTCGTGGGCACGCTCATTACTATATATTAGCAGTCATTTCATAGTCTTAGGATGTAGTCAACTTCGTTCATTATCCTACCCCTACGTTTTAGGATACGGATGATTCGTTCAGTACATCGACTCGCTCTGTACTACATTCTCCCCAAGACCTCTCTGTGATACTTGCCCTCTTCCAAGGCAAACCCTTGCGACACGTGACACTGCTGTGGAACGAATCGTGACATGTTGATCATTGGTCAATAGGTTAGAACAAACTATGACATTTCGGGCTATACTGAGCAGATTTCAAAACCGCCTCACGCATACTATCTAATTTTTGCTTGTTCTTTCAATTTCGGTGGAGACAAACTACGCCATGAATAGTTTAGTCCGATGGGAGCATCTAATCAATAACATTAAGATCAATACCTTTTTGACAGTAGTTTTACAGTTGGCCATGATACCTCCTGCTTGCCTGACAGAATATATTTCCTCAGATACTAACACAAACTCATGCCAAACCGGTTTTCACCCCATCAAGACTGTACTGTCCTGGCAAGCGCCATTTAACCATGGTTCCGAACACACCACATGGACAGGTATTGGCTGGCTGTTGTTCTCCCACGGTAGGATACTCCACTTCTGGCCCCAGCCGTACAGTAACATGGCTCTCAGGCATCATCTTGACGAGAATCCTTCAAATTTGCATTCAAAGGAAATTCGCATCCTAGGTTCGCAGTAGACACATCCCGATAAGCCGAGTTGAGAGTCCCAGGCGAAGGCAAGAGGTAAGCATCCCGCATTACTCCACCACATTCTGAAGTCAGATGAGGCTCTGTTAGGCACTCGGAAAAACATCCCGTCTCACACCTTCTAAAGTTTTCCAGATAGGCTTGGGGCCATATGTTCATGGACTCTATGTAAGCTGTCCTATCATTTGAACAAGCATTAATGTTGAGGTAGTTATCGATGGGATTCCGGTGGTACGTGTCCAGGTCTGAATATTGATTGCCTGGTACTTCGCTGCTCTTCGTGCCCCATTGTTGTTGTTGTGACGATGGCGAAAATGAAGGTGATGCTGCTGATGGTGATGTTTGTGAGGCTGTTTTCTGTGAGGACGGTGTGAGCATGCGCGAGTGGACGGGATGTGTAAATTGCTCTTTTGTGTTCAATTCTTTCGGTTCCTGAGCTCAGAATACGTTGTTTAGTAACTATAAGTAATGCTGTTGAACTGGGTTTAAAGCGACACTCCCTCAGGACTGATGAATTACCTTTCGTAGAGGACACTTCGTACACAATATTTTCGGTTCTTGTGAAGTGTTAGCAGTTTGGACTGAAGTTGGAACTGCAGTGTGATGCTGATGTTGCTGTTCCGATGGTTGGAAGCTTGAGCTGTAAGTTCCCGACGACTGAGGCTGTGGTGTTAAATAGTTTGAAAATCCTTCGAAGTCGGCCTCTACAAGCCCCAATTCCTTGAGGATGGAAATGGTCGAGATCTCTGTGAGTGATTCGTCGGACACTCTTCCGGGAAAGCACTGTCCTCTTCGACAAGCCCAGTATAGTCGTTGAATAGCCTCATCAGTCAGATCTTGCATCTGACAGTAGCTGGAGGATTTGAGGTATTAGTGGAGAAACGTCACGATGGTGAACAATTGAGGTTCATAGGCTACCATACAGCTTTCGAACATCACGACTTCTTTTTGCCGTATACGTACATGCACTATCATTGAGTAGGCAAGTTTGACATCTGTAATTGCCGTCACACTTTCTTCTAGTTAGTAACATTCTCATAGATTATAATACTTTACGAAAACATTCCTTAGCCTTTTTTAACTTGCATCGATCGCAACTGTAACGGATTCACGTTAGCATTATTCTTCACCGTAGAACTGTAGCTTAAAACATATAGCCATGCTGGTCAATTATGGAGACACTTACGCTCGAGGAGTTCTTCGCCTGTCACTTTCTTCATCTTTAAGGCGTACTAATCTAGGCTTTGGCAATTTTCCCATCTTCATATGTTGTTGGCATGCGAGGAGCGGCGATGATACCGAAATCGAAAGCGCAAGTAGAAACTTATTGCCTCTGACCAGTTACATATTCATGGTATCAATTAACAAGAAATGACGCTGATGATTGTTTCCAGGAGCATCAGAGCTAATCCCAAAGGCAAATCTGAATGACGTCATAGATACACATGAAAAGGCTACGTCATCCAGAACGGCTTTAGCTGTACTCCCATTACTGAATTGAATGTCTTTGTCGGCTTTTTTAAAACTATATGATCAGCATAATCACTTCTTTCGCATGTCGTCTTTCAGTCCAGACAGCGTCATATACAGCGCTGGACAATGACATATCCTGTCTCCTCTGCGATGCGGGGATTTTCTTGCTAAAGTATGATTCACTAGACAACAAAGACTGCTATCCGTCAGGAAACGCATAACCACTTTGAATTAGGTGACGAAGCTATGGCAAATAGGTACCACTAGCACCCTGGATAACCCGCCGGCCCCGGGAATGTATTCGCCTATATTGCTTGCCGATCACGCTACCAGCTTGAATAGGCCTACCGCACAACGTTTACACACAATCTTGGTTATGTTCATCCGGGACATGAACCTGAGTTTCACGGATCCTATCTCCACAACTGTAAAGCGCAAAGCGACGCTTTCCTGAGGTTTGCTCGATCCCGAAGATTGCCTCGAAAGGACATTTAAACCAGACGCTGAGACCCTTGCGGACCATATCAGCACTCTCACATTTGGCTGAGTCTGAACGTGACACAGAGAGCAAAGCTGACTAGGCCAGCCTCCATTCGCACAAGTCTTTGGACGGCAGACCTAAGGTGGCCTGCTACTATGTAAACAAGCCTTTGCGAGTCATGCGCGTCTGGTCAGATTCCTGAACTTTCGAAATGGTTGTGCCTACCCGTTCCCTGTTTGAATCGCCAGACAAATTTCGTCTTTGAGAGAAATACACAAGCTTGACCCACATTCACGATGTTGTCAGGCCGAATGCCGGTCAGGGCAGTCTATCTTCACATGTGTATGGCGTCCTCGACAAACGTGAATCTGGAGCCCAGATCCAATATTCGATATGGTGGAAAAGTTGCTGGACGCTGGAGAGTAATCTTGTCGAAAAGGATTGGGTGGCGGCATCGCTAGAAGCGAACAAAATAGTCTTTGCCCCACGGAGCGCACGGTTGGAGAGCACTTTCGAAGACGGAATGAAGAGATACGAGGGTTTGATGTTGGTCGTGAAATCCTGAATGACGAGAGAGCTCGTAAAGAAGATGTGTACAGTCCGTGAGACCCGGCGATCGTTTGAACAGCTCCTGGGCGCATGTAATTGAGACTGACTGAGGCGGTGGTGGTTGTACATGGAAGCCTCGCAGTATATGCCATGAGAGGAGCGTCATATCCGCCGCTGAACTGTGTCTAGACGATGAAGGGATGGGTCAGAATCGCCCCTTCCTCCAATGGGATGAACAGACTCTGAAAGCAGATGAATCTCGCTCATAAGGGGCTTTGATGGCCGGAATTCCGCTAACGCCTTCGAAACTTCGGCCTCACACAGGGCCAGAATTGAGGTTGTCCTTCTCTTGCCGAGGCCTGACGTTACGGAGGCTGGTTGACGGAACGCTCGGTTAGGGGCCGGGGTCGAATGATCTTCGCAGATTTAAAGTCATGCCAGATCAGTCGTTGCGTGGCAGGGTTCCACAGCATGTTACGCCGCGCGATGTCACCGTGTAAGATCCCTTGATAGTGAATCGCGCGCAGACCCTCGATGGCCATGTCAGAAGCAACGGGTCCGGTGCGTAAGTGGTTCGTTGAGTACCCTCCAAACGACAGAACGATGATGTACGAGATCGGCACAATTCCCACGTAATGGAGAGGCCGCTTGAGAGGGAAACTTCCCAGGTACACAGTTGCCCACGTTCCCCGGGGGGCCGACACACCAAAGTCAGCAATTCGGTCCCGACCCGTCCCGGGACACACCAAGATGGAACAAGATTGGGACCAAAGCTGGGCCAAAGGTATAGGGGCACCACTTCTTGGGGCACCCCCGCCCACCGGGCAATTTTAGCCGGGTGGATCGTCATTAGTGCTCTTCAAGGTTCACGACACGCGGCGCGAATGTACAAGGTCCGTCTGTGGAAAATTGACTTGAGGCTATTCAGAATTTGCTGGTCACTGTTCGTGGCTTCAATGATGTGGTGCATGCTACACAGACGCTGAGGAATTCCGGCGTAAGGTCTACAATACCCGTTCTCAGTACATTTAAAACAAAGAGCTTGGGGAAGGTAATGGAATATGTTCGACGTTTTCAGGACCAGCTTTACGTCCTTGCTCCTGCCCGGGCAAGACCAAACTGATCACGATTCTATTTACAGGTCAGTGAAGACTCTAGCATAACCCGCGGTCCAGAAGATTTGACCCCACTTCCTATTGTATTCGATCTCGGGCAAGAAATCCCGAGTGGGTGGACAATGGGTGGTAAAGTTCAATATATCTTCATCCCGCGCATAGGGCTCTTCGGCGAAAATAGCAGCCTAAATTTGGACTCACCCGCTAAGGGGCCTCTTTAGGTCCCGAAGTAATACTTCAATTCGGTCGAGATAGCCGGCGAACCTGATTATACAGGAGCCAAAGTCTCAGCAAGATCAACTCAGCGTGATATAATTCAAGTTCAGTCAAGAATAAAACGTGTCTTCTGTTGCATAGAATGGAGATCCACCCCGAAAGACATGCTAATGTGCAACGGGCCGAATGGCGCTGTAGGTGCCGACAAGCCCTGGCCGATCACCTACGTAGGTTCAAACCCAAAATGCCTACGCATACCGCTAATTCGCCTAAGGGTTACAGCTAGGTATTTCAGTACAGGCATCACACGTTCGGCTTATCCCCCGCCCGGAAGACGGGTATACGTGGGCACGCGAGCCAGAGAGGGAGCACCTATTCACGAAGCAAATAAGTAAACATTCTATTGGTGCATATATGGAGCTTTGCCGAGAAGTTGGCTTGTCGATCAAAGGAGTAGCGCCTTCGGATGATCTGCCCCAGACCTCAAACTGTCGCGCAAAAGAGATCGATCAGCTACGCGCGGAGAATAAGAGATTGATTAATGAACTCTCTTTAACCACTAACAGGATTGACATCGAGTGCATAGCGCGGGAAAAGGCTGAAACGAGAGTCGGAGAGCTGGAAGGACAATTATTAACGACACAGAAACGAGAAGAGGTCGTGGCGAGGGAGAATGAACGTCTATCATCAAGAATCCGGCGGATGACGAAAAGAATAGGACATTCAGATAAAGAAGTCAAGGTGGCATTGTCAAGGTTAAGCAGACTAGACAGCGGGAGAACAAAGTTCTGATCAAAGGATTGCGCACACCAGAACACTACCTAGTCAAGCAAAGTTTCTTGAAACCACCGAGAAGCGCTTTTCTGAAGATCGGCGAAGGGTCCTCGGGCCCTCCTGAGACCAGCAACGTCTACACTCGGCGGCCCACGCACCAAACTTCATTTTGTGCAGTACAACACAGTACTGTACTGTAACAGCGAGCGCGAATTGTGGCAGCATATCCGCGACTCGGCTGTTCACATCCCGTACGACAGTATTCCAGCGGTGTTTTCGCTGGTAATGCCGACCCTTCGGCGAATGTTTCGGGGCGAAACAATTATTGGCGTCATTGCCTCAGTCTCTGGTCTGAAGGGCTTTGAACCGCTGCCCAGGGCAGATGTAGAGAATAGTGGCGGCAAGGGCCTAAAATGGCCGTACCGGTGCCGCTTGATGCCCGGATCAAGTCCCCGCGTCTAAGTCACGGGGCGGTAACGTGCGAAAGTTCGCCACGGTCCAATGCCAATGTCCGCCAGACTGGGCTTTTGCAAGTTGGATGTTGTGCCAACACGCGCGCCCAGTTCCCGCAAAAGCAGGGCTTCCCGTCTTCGCGTCCACGGGCAGTGTGATGAGTTCTGCCGGTACACTGCCTCACCCCCTTTTGTCCAAACCTTATCGCTACCTGCTCAGGCTCTGAGTGCCTAGTTGATCCAGGACTCAGTGTATGGTAATGAGCAAAGCACGGCTTCTCGGCGCCGGGCCCCTTGACCTGCGGTCATCCCAACGGAGGTGGTCTCACTACGAGCCTGTCCACGTCCTATGACCAAGTACTGGTCATGAATGACAGAATGAGATCCGGGTCACGAGATCTCACGCCAAAGACAGCAGTCCAACTCTCAGAGTAGCCTAACAGCGCGCGTCATCACGGCTTCACCCTCATGCGAGCGTCCGCGTAGCTCGTGCCGACCCTGCTGCTTTGGCCCACTCAACGAAGGCGAGACAAGATGATGGCGAGCTTCGTTTCTGTCCGCTTCGACGTCCACTCTTTTTGTGCTTTCAAGGCACCAAGCCTACCTTTTGGAAACGCAGCCAAAGGGCGAATGGGACCCCTTCAAGGAGAGAGCGCCTCAGCCGGCCCATGGCGACGGAGCGTTATCCCCTCGCGATCTTTGGTTTATCATCGTCGTTCGACCTGTCACGACCGCGAATGGCCTTCAGGCGCTCATGGAGCACGATGTCTCACACAAACGCTTTCCAGGCCAGGGAACCTGGAAGATTGTGGGCAGTGTCCTCATTAACGCAGGTCGGCAGGGGCGCAGACCAGACGAGCGACGCTGAATGCACGAGAACCTCATGCCTGGGGGAGTCGGCCGTGGTTGTGAGGCCGCCGGCCAGAGCTTGCGCCCGAAGAAGCTCGAACTGAGACCAGTCGTTTGCCCTTCTGCGGACGCCGATGGTGCGCGTCGACGCTAAAAGTCGGCATGTGCAGGCTATGCGACGACTGCGCAGAGGGCAAGTGCGACCTGCATGACCCCAAGACTGGCGGGCTCCGTGAGCGTCGCGAGCCCTGCAAGAGAGCTATAAGTTCTTCCGCCTTTCCCTTTCTTCGCTCTGACCGTTCCAACTCTTTCGACTCGACGACTTCTACACCATCAAGTCAAACACCTCCACCTGGTCAATTCAACGAACGCTGCACGCTGCACGATGTCTCAGGAACGAACAATGATTTGCGACCTCGAGTATGCGGATATAATTACTGCAACATTGACCGCACGGAAAAGTAATGCTCAGGCCAGAGACCGTGCAAAGTACCTGGAGGCCAAGCTGGATGCGACACGATTTGAGATTGAGCAACTCAAGGTGGATGACATTGAACGGCACAAACTGGAAGACCGCCACCAAACTACCTTGCGTCGGCAAGTTTCCGAGAAAGCCGAAGAACTTCGGAAGATCAGAGCCGAGAATGGCAAGCTTCGAAAACGAAACAGAGACTTGACGCGCGAGCTCAAAGACGCACTTGATAAGCCGGCAAGTGTCCAGGTGCTTTTGTGTGGCATCTGCATGGAGCGGCCCGAGGATATGGACTAGGTGCGGCCACGGCTTCTGTCACACTTGCCTGCCCGAGTGGTTGGAGCCAACCGGAGGGCGAGAACCCACCTATCCAAACAAGTTCCGGCGATGTCTGGAAGCTATATCTTGGGACACTACCACAGGCATCAGTCATCGAAAAGTATTTGCTCGAAGAAGCATCTATAATTGCCCAATATTTCGACTACTTCAACCTCCCACCGACGATAATTATTCTCATTTGATGGGGCCGAATGAAACCCCAAAGATGCACATCATCCTCGACATGCATTGCAAAACTGCCCCGAAAGTTGATGTGACATATTATTCAATTCCCATGTTGGCTGATTCCATATTAGCGAGTTTGAACGACTGAACGAGTCTGCAAGCAATTATGCTCGCACGCGCTGTGTTGATGTGGGCTGGGGTACTTGGCGGCGTCAATCAACCTGAACCACTTGAAGAATTCGAAGTGGTTTCGCCCGTACAAATTGGACATGGTCCGGGGACGTTGGTGTCTTGAATCCTCTACTGCGGATCTGTCCACCCCCTCCGCCTTTCTCCTACCTATCACATTCGCATCCTGGCCATCTAGGAATTAGGAGGATTCGCCCACAAGTTCTTGGTCTGTTTTGTTCCACGCATCACCCAGCGCTGCTCGCATAAAGTATTCCATCTCTCTCTGCACATTAGGATTAGGGCTAATGATCCGATTAGTATAACCGACCGGAATCCAATTCGATGACTTACAAGGCGATCGACTGGTTTGCCCTGTACACATGCATAAGCGCCTCAACTTGCGCCATTTCAAGGAAAGAAGAACGACTGAACAATTCTGACCCCAGAGCCTTCATGAATGGGTGCCCCCGGACAAAGGCCTCCAACTGAATGGCCCATGTTTCGAAGACAGGAGGGTAAAAGCCTGCGCAACCCCAGTCCAAAAGATAAATCGAGCGATCTGTGCTCAGGATGATGTTCCTTGGAGCGATATCTAGATGACACAAGGATAAAGCCATATCCGACACATCTATGGTGACCTCTCCCTGGAGATGTGCTAGCCTCGTATCTAGATACTTCTGTAGATCTTTGCGCGAGTTAAAACTCTGTCCCGAGTTATACTCAGACCATAGCAAGCCTCGAGAAGGACTGCCATCGAGTGGGCCAGGACGACTGCTGCGAAAGCTGTGAATGTGTTGAATAACTTGCGTGATCCGGTCTGTCAGCTGTAGATAGTCATCCAGAGGCAGCTGATCGAGTGTGGTTCCTTCGATAAAATCCATTACAAGATACCCAGTCGTCCACAGCTCATCTGAAGGCCTCGTGAAGAATTGTACAACAGATGGTACTTTGACAACTGCTGGATCGAGTCTTTGGGATGCGAATTTCAATGCATCAGCTTCGGCTGCCGTGACACCAATTCCGAATTTAACGGCAAGTGTGTTTGTCAACCTGACCACAAGGTTGATGGCATTAGAAGGACTTATAACGTTAACTCTATTCTCGCGTGCCTGTGCACATAGTTGTATGATGACTCCTTGTGATTTTGGGTTACTGTAATTGATGTCCATGTTTTGATGGTAGGTCTTTCATTTAGTGGACACCGAAGTTGGGACGTGTCGACACTATTGTGATAGTGCAGGAAATTTGTTCAAGCGTGACAGAAATATGGAGAGGGCAGTGGTGATGATATGTATTGCCGAGGCGCCATGGGTCCGTACAGGGCTCCACAGAGCAGGATAGCGTAATACGGTGGAGTACATGCGTGTCTTGTGCTGGGCGTCTCGCTCATGACATCACAACAAAATCTGGTGTAAGTAGCCACGTGATAATAACTATCGCTACTATAATTGTTCGAAGGCCATGGTCTTTGAGAAAGCTACGGGGGGGGCCGTCAGACTGTATTCCTTATACCTAGTAACGAAGCACCTCGACCTATTACAAAAGCTTGGCACCTACCACCTTTCCCGTAATCACACAACTTCAGTGTAATCAGTTGAACATGCCAAGACCTATCTGGAATAGCTGTCCCTCCTCCCGTTTCAGCAACCCACATTACTGACGTTTGTATACTTATAACACCGGAGGAGCAAAGTCAATAGAACGATCCGGCCAACATTGGAAGGGAAACAGGCTGTTGGTTTCGGGAATAGTTGAACCGAATGACTTGAGTTAATGTCCTAGCTGCATTCTCAGCAATGTAGCCGGCTTCCTCAAGATCGTTGATGATGGTCAATCTAGAAAGTTCAGCGATTACCAGCCCCGGAGAAAGATTACATGCACCCAATGTCGACACCTAACGCCCGTTGGAGTCATCCGGTAGCGATTTCGTCTTTTGTCTCCAATTAGACGGAGAATTTTTCCAACGGTGACGTTGTTTGTTGTAGTTGGAAAATCCCAATGGCGGCCACGGCTGGTTGTTAACTCGTACTGATGGCGGGTTACGTTGAAGATACCTTCAACCTTGCCAGGAGCTGGATTGGTTTCCATGTTAAGTCGCACAGACCCGCCTCCCTTCACGATAAGATAGATCGACCAGTGATTTTGGCTGAGTTGTGCCCCCGGGGCCACAGGACCCATTGTCATTCTGCGGGTTGAACGAAGCAATAATGATTGAGAAAGTTGTAGTGGAAGGGTAGAGAAGAAGGTATGTTATATACCGGGAGCAGGTAAAGTAAACTCTTCGCGTGTTACGACAATGGCAATAGATTTAGGCGTGTAGGAGGTCTGTAGCGGAGAGTCGTGCAACGACGGACACGGGATCTGCAGCTAGTGCCTTGATGGAGGTCCCATTGATGTCCCCGCCTCGTTAAAGGCGATCCTCCTCCAATTCGGTAGCGGGCAAGGCAGGATAAGATCCCGGGACGGGCCGTCGGCATCAAAGGGAGGAATCGTTCGAAGATCGATCATAACTACTACTAACAGCAGCTCTCATACTATTCTCCTTACACATAGCCATACCATAATGGGCGCTTGATAAGCAGACGGTGGGAGCAAGACTCTACTACTCCAGTCTCAACTTGAAAGTTGAACCGCTGATAATAGTCAGGCGAAAAGATTATATCTTATGTGGCCCACCAAGGCCGGCCAGCTCGCTCGACTAGCTGCGATTGGGTGTTTGCCTGCTCGTTGTCTTGCCAGCCACAGGAGGGCCATCCAATCTCATGATCGCGCAGCATTGCTCATTACGTCGAAGTATATGTTGCGAAGCACGCACAAGCTCGATATGCAGTACCCCGCTGTCAAACCCTTTTCAGTACTGCCCGCAATTCAAGACGAGCATGGGTGAGGTCCGAAAGTTTTCAGATGCACCGTTTCCAATCCTCAAATTTCATCAGGGAGAAAACGTAGTGCCTCGAGAACCCCAGCATAGCGTAAATAAAATACTAGGATCAAGTCGGAGGTATGGCAAATTTGTTAGCAATGACTATTCGCATCTTCAGTTTGTATCACCAGCTAAATCGAGATCACAGGTTGACCACGTTCGCCAATGATCTCGATCGTCACCTGGAAGACTTTCGTGAAGACACTGGGAGACTAACACAGGGCTTGAATAAGGTAGAGCTGGACTTGAACAAGCTAAGCCAAATTGCCACCGATCTAGGCATCCGTCTAGATCATATCGATCGCATTCCAAATAGCCTGAACGAGCGCTTCGGAAACCTGCACCAGAACTTCGGGATTTTGCGAGACAGTTTTGCGGCTTATGGTCCTCGTCTCAATGACCTTGACCGCAGGTCGAATGACCTGAAAGACCGCACGAGGAGCCTTCAGCAGGCGCTTAATGTTCTCACCGAGAACCTTACAAGTCTTGGTAGCCGTGTCGACTCAACCGTTCGCGACCTGGACAACCATAACGACGATCTTCGGAGCATCGAGGCTCGCCTAAACGACATCGACCAGAATACTCGTGGCTATGGAGGACGTCTTACAGTCCTTGAACAAGACATCGCGAACATGAAGCAAAAGCTGAATCTCGTTGAACCCCGCCTCGACCAAATTGACCGAAGTCCCCACAACCTTGGTGAGCGGGTTGGGGATCTTGAGAACAATATCGACAACATTGTCCAAAGAATCCAAGGACATGAAAACCGTCTCAATACCATCGACCACATTCCAAATAGCCTCAGTAATATGGTTCAAACTCACCGTGAAAATCTACGCCAGCTGTACGACAGAGCCGCTGAACACACGCATCGGTTGGATGCTGTCGATCGAGAACCTGATGGCGTGGAGAACCGCTTGCGATCGCTTGAGGAGCACCTCGCCCGCTCCGATCGGCGTATAACCAACATCAGCAGGCGGATTGAAAATCCTAGAGGTATCTGTTGCGTTATCTTATGACGGCGATGCTGGTGCCTTTTTCCCGAGGACGAAGATGTTGATTGTAGGTTTCTCGTGTTCGCCACGTGGCAAGTCTCGGTGGATTGGATCACAACGACCACGCCGGCCAAAAGCGAACCCGGCACACCACAATTCTTGGTATGGGAAAGAAGGTGGTAAGGGCGAGCAAACGGAGTAATGCCGCTGATGGATTGTTGTGGACTGCTTGATTTCAAATCTAAGACTGTCTATCAGCATCTCCCAGTACCCAGGGTTTCCCCAGAATCACTTAAGGAATTGACCGCAATCAATCTGAAAGATTTCAGCCTCAGTCTCACCAGCCTCAGCATGAAGGATTATTACTGGTCGGGGATATGGTGCGTACCTGATCAAGAAAGAAGGGATCTTGGTAATGCATCATTGCGCTTCCGTTGAGCTTTGCAAAGATTTCCTGACAGCTCTTCATTTTCAAATAGTGAACCTATAAGCCGGTGAATTTCGATGAGAGTAGCCGGTAGGGATTACCATTCCTGAGGAATCCACAGCTCTATGAGCGAAACTCTCAGAAGAGGATCTGGCAACGTTACCCGGAAACAGCGCCCGATACGTACAGAGCGTGTGCACCGGCCATTTAATCTTTGAGGCAGGAGATCGTTTTGCTATATGGGAATCGCTTCGGTGTAAGGGTGCGAGGCAATGCCCATATGAGTTGACTTAGCCTCACGGGATCGTCCCCTGATTGGTCATTTCATGGGATGCGCAGGTAGATGCAATCCCAACGGACCTCTCTGATTGCTCAATGGACATTTTTCCGGCGCTATACTATAACAAGTAAGACAATACCCTTGGGCATTGCCTCGTATTTGTAGCAACAATTCGATATCTTGTCAAAATCTTGGATGTCCGGCACGTGACCCCACCACCGCCGACACGGTAAGCAAGAAAGGCGCCCGCACAACTAAAAATAGAATCCTCGCAAGGAGTCTTGGCGGACGAGTGGGCTGTCCCGAATTTTTGAATGGCATATCCCCCAATTTTCGATTGGGCTGTCCCGGTTTTGGTTAGGGGTAGCCCATTCATAGCACAGGTTGGCCTAACTGCCTGCGAGATGGTTCGCCGTTGGGGGATAGCTTCCCGCCCATCCCCGCTTGCACAACAACGGTACTTAATCCATTGGCATGTGACTTCGCCCATCCGAGCGTCCCTGCCTGAACGGGCTTGCAGACCTCAACTCCGCGTTGTGGCTATCACTAGCCACGGCAACAATTGTTGAGATATTTGCTATGTTTCTTGCCCAACTGCTTCCGCCAGTATAATGTCGCCCTCGGGGGCCTCGGTCTCGTACGAGGAGTGAGCTAAATGATCGTTCACCAGGTGAAAGAGTACTGATTACGCAACACTTAGGATCTTGAGCTCAGATCCATTTCAATTTTTCGTGGGTCCTAACCAGAGGTCGTTTACCATACATGCAGCTCTAGCTGCGCACTACTCGCGAGTCTTCGGCGTCCTGATAACGGGTCCTATGAACGAAGCCAAGGTGAAACGTGGAAAACTTGAAGACATCGACGAACAGTGCTGAGCCCCACGGAATGAGGCCCCTTCTGAATCCGAATGGTATATAGCGTTGTCACTCAAGAGAACTGCAGAGCTCGATGGGGAGGTACGGAGCTTCATTAAATGACATCCGCAGCCCACCAGTGGCAAAGTGTTCATCGTCCCCCAGGTTGAATTATTCATACTTACACCACCATGCTCAGAGAAAAGCTCTGGCTCAAAAAAGGTGTCTCCCTCGCATTCGCGGCCGCATTAATCTGCTGCACGGTTTTGAGCTTCGAAGTGCTTTGCAATAAGGACGACATGAAGGCTGGTATCATTACCTTCACTGTGAGGGCCTTTCACTGTTCAAAAATGTTGAGATCACTGATATATTCTTCCACAGTTTAGGGCCGCCCCCACACAGGTACCGCTCCGTGCAAGGGACCTGATCCAACGGCCGTGACCCAAGCTCCTAGCGAAGCAAGGCTGCGTGGGATTCAGCGACCATGTCGAATGTCATCAATTGCCCGTGAACATATCTAGGATCGTACCCCAGGTTGTTACAAATATTCTGAGCGACCAAGTGTAAAATTTGGATCACCTGCGCAGCATCTTTGCAAAGTCTACCCCTGGATGGATCGGGGATCCTTTCATTATCTGCATAGCGACGGCCCTGGTGGTCGCCGTCGTCTTTTTCACCTCTATGTTCAGCTGGCCCTTCGGCGCTGGTACTCTCCTGCAGGGTCTGACGTTGCTGATAGTACCAAGATTGGTTCTTGGGCTTTTTTGTT